CCCCCCCCCCAAAAAAAAAAAACAAAAGTAAAGAAATTGGTGCTCGGCAGACAACTTAAAAACTGATTCATTATAGCGGTTTTACGCCCCTATCGATACGATTTTAGGTCATTCAGGGGGAGGGTTACTTTGACTCTGTCTGCCAGGGTCAATCCCAACAGAGTGAGACAGTATACTGTATACAGGCAGATGGAGATCTTCCATAACATAATACATAGCTTCCACAATCGGAATTCGAACTCACGACTTCAACCTGCTCCAGAAAAGAACCCCACGATTATATCACAGACGCAGCATGTCTTACTTGAAGAAGGGTACGAGATACTGGAAGTGCTCATTACGAAGCGCAGCGCTTTATAATTGTGCACTCTCTCCTTTCTCTCTCTCTCTCTCTCTCTCTCTCTCTCTCTCTCTCTCTCTCTCTGTCTGCCCTATCTCTTTCATTGTTTATAATCTCTCTCTTTCTCTCTTCTCTCTCCTCCTGTCTCTCTGTCTCCCCTTCTCCCTCTGTCCGTCCGTCAGCCCGTCTGTCTGTCTGTCTGTCTGTCCGTCTGTCTGTCTGTCTGTCTGTCTGCCCCCCCTCTCTCTCTCCGGCCCCTGTGCCACCCATCAAATATTCCCATAAAACACAGGGTTAGCTGTTGATAAAATGTCAGTTCTTTGACTACTCTAAAGAGATCATAGGTTACGACCACATCGACAGGCTACTTAGATGGTTTAAATAGCGCTCAAGGAAAAAGAAATAATAATCCGAGTACTCAAACTTTAGGACTCGAGCAAGTGCTTGAGCATTCAAAATAGAGCTGGGCGAGGAAACGATTCCGGAACCGATCCCACGATTAATGCTACGAAAGAAAAGTTCCGATTCTTTTTTAGGTAAACCAACAGTCCCAGTTACTTTAATCATTAAAATCTTCTTTTATTTTTAAGAACTTATTTTCGAAAAATAGTGTTCCAAAAATCAAAGTTATCCTAAATCTGAAGATGCTCGGAGCCAACCAGGTAACCACCGGAAGAAATCACATTATTAGAAAGTAATTGGGTTCGAAGTCGATTCCTACGATTTATTGCTTTCAATAATCGGGAACCTGGCCGCCCAGCACTAATTCAAAAACTTTCAAACGAGTATTCACAGGGGCTAATATGCAAGTACTCAAGTGGAGTCGAGTGTTCACAATCCGCGAATTCGGGCAGGAAAGAGACCCATGTCGACCAACAATACAGCCCGTCTTCATCTGTCTAACTCTGTCATTTGTTCCCCGCCCATCTTTTCAACTACAGAGATTAGATTTAACAATAACAAAACGACGAACTCTTATGACCTTTCCGTTGTTCCAATAATGACAGTATATTTCTAGTTTGCAGGAATACAAGAACTAGCATCTACTTTCTAGATCTAGTATCAGTAACATAATAACAAGGCTTCGCTCACTCGACACTGACATACAAAACAAGTTCGGACCTCGAGATTAAGTTGTTGTCGTTGTGGCTACTTTAATGAACATAATGCGCTAGTTTCAAATACACAGATACTAAATGTCGTTTACTGTACAGCAGGGGACGTGTGACATGACGATAACAAGGATAGACGCCACAAGTTGACGAGCGGTTGGGTTGTCTTGGGGGTCTTTTGGGGTGGAGGGAGGGGTGAGGGGGGAGGGGGTTACTCTCTTCTCATTTTCTGTTACGATGTAGTATAAATGGAGAAGGCAATCGATATTCTTTGCCCACAGACACATACATGCACAATTACAGACACATAAACTCATATAAGGCAAACACACACACACACACACACACACACACACACACACACACATACACACACTTACAAGCACAAATGCACAAACACCATTATACACATATATTGGTATGACTATACACTTACGTTCACACAGATACACATATTATCATTCATAAACACAAACGTGCACACACAAAACATTACTATAACACACACACACAC